TGAGTGTGTGTATCCTGTCCTGCAAACACAGCACATTGCATTCTGAAGATAGGCAGGGACTGTCTTGCAGTCCAGAGGGACAAATAGAGAAGCATCCAGGCCTGTCTTTCAGGCTCTGTGTGTCTTTATCTTTGTTCCAGAAAAAGGAAGCGTTATGGCTGAGGAGTTTTTAATTTTCAAAATTCTTTAAAAATCCTTTAAAAAGATGCAGAGCACTCAGGTTGCAGATTACAGTATCACCACAACCTTGTCATTAACATTTTGTGAATATAGGTGTCATCGGTTGATGTGGCCCTAATTTAAACATATTGCAGCATTTTCATAACATTTAATTAAAAAGGTGTTTGGCCTGATTCTTAAGGGTTTGTTTTAAATGTGTGTGTGTGTGGCTCAAGGAGATAAAAAGAAGTAGTTTACTTTTCAGATTTCCTCGGAATCACTGTATTCCCAACTCACCCAATGCTCAGACATACTGTATGTCAATGTAGGGGGTGCTTGGTAAAAAGTGATGATAGATTGAGGACACAAAAGACAAGAGCAAATGTGTTGCGCTAAATCTACAGCCTTCACTCAGCCTCACATTGACTGACTCAAGGGTCTACCTCAGCTTGTGCTCAAATCAATGTTAGTCCTGAGAGTACCGAATAGAAAATCATTCAAATCGCATTATGTCACGATATATGAGCCGTTTCAAAATATTAATTCTGTATTATTTGAGATGTCTTTTTAAGATAGCAGTTACAGCTAGCAGTGCATTGACTCAACTGAGCGATTACATACCTCTATTACATGTGATATATGAATGCATGAGAGGGACCTATTTTTCATTACCAAGACAATGTCCCTAGAGGCAGTTGTTAAAGAAGAATCTATGAATTATTCCTGTGGAACAACTGGCCCTTGTCATGAGCCGAGGAACAGAGGAAAGGGAAAAGGGAAGCACACTATTGATAGTAGTGGGACTAAGAGACTGGAAGGACGCCAGAAGAATGTGTCTGCCTGTGCTTGTGATCCTGCACACTGCCGCCTCTCCCTCTGTCCAGTTAATTGGAATACAAAGCAGAGCAGGGTCGATGAGAGAGCGGTGGTGCTGGGGGGGGGTAGCTGCTGTCTGTCTCCAGCAACACTCAACCTTCACTGCTCGCTGGGAATTGACTGGGGAACCAGCGAGCGAGACCGACACACTGTCACTGGTAAAATGAACTGTCACCTTGCATTTCTCAGCCTCCTGGCAGCATCGAATTGGTTGCTTTGAACCATGTGACGTGACACTGATTGAGTTCTGGTTTTCCTCTCCTGGGCTCTAAGGGAAGGAGTCGGATTAATTGCAAGTGTACAGGCTCTCCATGCAAAGTATCCAGGCAGGGGCACATCAGGGCCCAGGCAGCGAGCATTACTTCAGACCTGTCTTTACACCAAATGTTTCATGGGCGCTCTGTTCTTCCTCACCACCCCTCATTATTTCATTGTGCTGCTTTGTTACTCAGCCTCTAAGCTAGACTTGTTTTTCTTATGGCATATAGTCATGGTGGCCTGACAGGCACACAGAGGAGGAAAACTATTAGGGGTAGCCATTTGGATCCTGGAGGCAATCCCGGGGAGTATTAAGATGTTAACCCTGGCCAAGTCACTTGTCTTTCTCAGTTACGATGCTGATGGAGCAGGAAAAAGATGCAGTCGCAGAGGGACCCGGGAGACAGGGGCTTCAGGTCGGCTGGTGCTTCCAGATCCAACAGAGCCTGACTCGGATGGGGGATGGTTGTCAAGAATGTTCCTGGCTGAGCTAAAAAGAGCCTCAATGCCATAACAAAGGCAGATGAGAGTGTGCCAGTCATATCTAGGCAGAATTTATCCTCATACTTAGATCAACAATATCTGTGAAAGAAATTGTGGATATTAAAATAAATATTGGTAAAAATCTTCAGATCAGGTGACGCACACACACGGGTGACAAATGAAAGTCCAGAGTAACTGAGTGGAAATTTAAAAACATCAGGGGTCACTGATTAACCTGCTTATTATTTTCTTGATTTATCTTTTTATTCTTTTTATTCTCGGACATTAGGAAAACCTCCCATTGACACAGAGTTAGAGGTGGTATCTTCACGTCTCATTCTTTCCAGCCAAGAAATCCACCGATGTTTAGTTTATTCTCATGTCTGACAAAGAAAAGCATCAGCTCCTCACATTAAAGAAGGTGGAACCAGAACATGTCGGTGACTGTTGCTTCTGGTTAGCTGCTGGTTAATTTTCTACCAGTGAACTGACTCATGGCTGCAGCTCTAGATCACTGAATGAGGACGACACAGTGGGTTTGACACAGTGAGGCAGTGAGGGGATCTGGTTGGAAGGAGGATGTTTCCTCCCTCTGACAGAGGAGACCTGACGCTGCTCTGGAGACTCGGCACTAACAAGTTGGTTCTCTTTATGCTGGTTTTTACTTTGACTTGTCACCCATATACCTGGATATACTCTATAAAGGGCTGCAAATATAATTAGTAATAATGTGCAAAATATTTTCTCAATTAGTCACTAAATCATAATAAATAGCTAAAACTATCAAGTTATATTTATTTATATGCTGTAGCCTGATGTCATAAGTCATAAATATGCTTTACAGCTCTTTACAACAGCATTAGACGCTTGATTCAGATTAAGAAAGGGGATCTCTTCCATCACGGGAAGATATGCAAGAGGTGCAATTTATAATTTCCCACATCCCACGGTGATGTCCTCAGATGTCTTGCTTTATCCAACCAACACTCCATATTCAGTTTACTGCCATGTATGACAAAGAAGAGCATTAAGTCTTCACATGACAAGTTCTGATCTTTTCAGTTCTCAGAATTGTTGGCCTTAACTTTTCGTTGGACAACTAATCGATGAATCATTGCTGATTGAATTTTCCAGTTTTGTTAATTTGCAGTATATCATTGCTTTGGTTAGCCATAAGGCCTTTCTTCACTTTCATAAAGGTTAGCGGACTGTAAAAAACGCCCGGAACAATTATGGAAATTAGTTTTATTTGCTTTACTGTTCTGTCCCTGAAAAAGTCCGATTGCAAGTCATACATATATCAAAATATTGTCAGTATTGCTCAGTTTGGTGGAAACTTCTCTCATAATTTTCAGCAGATGCTTTGATGCTTCACTTATTTCTGATTGTTGTGACTAGAGTATGTGCTGTATATATGACATATAAATAGTGCTAATTTAAATAGCTGGCTTTGATATCTGCCAATAGAAATGACTCCTCTGTGCTATCTCTCAGCTCACCAACCCCCCGTTAGCCTATGAATAGTGTATCTAGTTTTCCTTTGAAGCCCCGGGGCCCTGCAGAGTGACAAGCCACAGAAAAACTGGTAGAAAACAAGGAAGTGAGTCTGGCAATAGACTTGTAAAAGAGCCTGCAACAACTGCAAGCAGCATGTGGTACAAACAGTATTGGGTTGACCTCAAACAAAGCGCAGAGGGGGCCAGGTCAGCTAAAGATCAGTAAGATATCTGAGGAGAAAGAGGTTGGCTGCTGTGAACTTTCTGATTATTTTTGTGCCCATGAAGGATTTCTTTTCTTGTCCCTTCTGTGTTCATTAACAATTTCCTGCTCCTCTTTTCTCCTTGCCCTATATTTTCCAACAGAAGGCAAAGAGGGACTACGCTGATCCCAAGGTGAAAACATCCTCCTCCTCTCCCCCAGCTCAACATCTGTCTTCCTGGTTTCTGCTGCAGCCGACTGTGACACCTCCAGATGGAGAGCCCACTGGGAGTGCTGAGGTATTACCTACAGAGATGGCAGGGATCACACCTCTGGAATGAAGTCCCACACTCGTTCTCTGCACCGTCCCCTTTTTGGATGTTGAATCTGTCGCTATTCGCCGTTATCGATTGTCACCTCCCCAGTCCTTGGCCTTGTGGCTCTTGTGAACAGGAAGCTTTTGGCTTGTAAAGAAATGCATGACAACAAACCTCTTCACCCTTTTCTAATTTACAGTAATGGGCCGTATGGTATTTCAACTGTAACCTCTATTCGTGGAACTGTATTAATTTTTAATATAGTTATGGGAGAACTGCATGCTCATGCAGATATATTTCAAATGATTGCTGATTTCCATTTCCAGAAACATGGTTTTCAGAGGCATAGAACAGTTTCAACTTTGCACAAAAGTAGAGCATTGTCTAAATGACCTGCATCCTTATTAGTCTTAAAGCAGTACCTGCAAAACCCAACAGTATGAGAGGCCTTGAGTTAACTTCTCTGAGCTACTCTTGTGCCTTGACATATCGACTCTGCATTCATTTGTGCCTGAACTCTGCGTGAACCTCAGCTTTAGGAAAAAGGACACCAACAGGCCAGTGCAGCTGGAGCACAATCTGTGTGTGCAAACCTAACACCCAGTGCAAATATTGAACCTGCTGCCCCGTTACCATCAGAAGAAACTAGGTGGTCAGGTCTGGCAAACGTTTACCTACAAGCAAAGCCAACACGAGCAGTGAGATGTCAAATTATCAGTTTCGCTTCTCAGTTTTAAAAGGAAAACTTGGCTGTTTTTATTTTAGAATATTAAACTTGAACCATATGAAATGCAAGTGGATTTCTGTGGCAACCTGTATCCAAGTGGAATTTGGGTAACAAATCAAGGGAGGGGCTATCTGAAGTTTGTTGCCATGTTTAGAGCCCCTGCAGGTATTTTGAGGTGAAAAGGTCACTGGGAACCACCCCATGTGTTGTAAGAGATTCCTCTTGTCACATTATGCAAAGGAACTTTAACAGAGGAGTATGTAATACCTCTCAGAAATGTTCAAATTTAGAACAATTTAGAAATAGTCTTTGCCAAAGGGAACAAATTCTGTTTAAAAATGTAAAATTTCATTGGACTGAATCAGTATTATTGCTTTTTCCCCTTTACTTAAACAGCAAATGCAGCTTTCTTTTTCAATTTATAGACTTTATTAAGCTAAATCATCTGAACAATTGTGTGAAAATACCCTGTAAATAAATAGTGCAAACAATGACACTGAGTATTTCAGTGCTCAACACAAAACAGTATGGGCTTATGATAGGAGGACTGCAAAATACAAGAACGGATGAAAAACATTTTTAAAAGTTTCTCAGCATACAGCTTCAGGAATCGAGCACATCAGCAGACACGGACAGACCCTGCTATGTCACAAGTCCACAAGCATTTTCACAGTTTTTATGGCATGGTGCTGATCAGGCCTCCACAGTCATATTTTGAAGTTAGCTCATGATTCACAGTCTTTCGCCTTTGGAGACGTGTCAGGCCCGGAGACTTTCTCCGCAGGTGCCGGAGTGTTGACTAAAACGCAGCCCAGTTTCTCGCGCTTCTTCTGTGAAGTGGAACTCCTTCTCCAGCTCGGTCAGCTGCTTGGTGGTGAAGTTGGTGCGGATCACGTTGTGCTGGCCAGGAACCCCGAACTCCGACAGGACAGCTGTGGAGAGCAGTGGGTGAATGGGTGATGGAGAAAATCATGGAGCTTATGCGTGGGTTAAGATGTGAATGAAAATTGTGGGAATGAATGGGGGGAAAACACACGTCAGAACAATTTAAAACAGTGCGGCATCATTATAACAACTGGGTTGTGTTTTACGCACTGTGGCCACATATTATTAACTCACAGGTTTCATGGGATCCCTAAACTGCACTTCACCTAATTCTCAAATCAGTCTAAGGATGAACAAACCTGTTTTAGGTGGATTCCTCTTCACTTTCATCCAGTCGAATGTTTTAGAAGTTTCCTCCATATGCTCCAAATCCTTCTCACTACTTTGGGGCGCTAACCTCGTGTAAGTACCTTCTGAATATTCTTGCTGCCTCTGATCTCCGTTGCCAAAATGCAGATACTGGCTGCCCGTTGCAACTCCAGGCCCGCAGCTGTCCCCGGTGTAGGGAGCCATGTTTGTTCCAAGGGGTGAAACTTGCGCATGAAGGAAGCTCCGATCCTGCTCTGGAGCGAGGCCATAGTGGTGATGTCCGTACTCCAGAGGTGACCCATACATGGGGTTCCCCGGGGCTGTGAACTGCAGATCCAAGTTGACGTGTGTCTGGTGGTGCAGAGGGAGGCTCTGAGTCTGGTGTGGCGCGGAAGTTGCAGCAACTAAGCGCCCGTCTGGTGTGTAACTATCACTTGTTGCGCATGAGTTGGACGACACGTATCCATGGTTCAAATTGTGGTATCCCGTCTTGGCACTGAAAATATTTGCTCCCCGGCTGCACACAGGGTAGTCTAAGTAGGAGTTCATCCTGGCGCTTTGTGTTTGTTCTGACCTGATCAGGACTCAGCACTCATTAATCGGTGCTCCCTTTGCCCTTCTAGGTAGTATGTCAAAGCTGTAAAACTGCCTTCCACCCTCATATCACCTTCCTGACACACCATGTGACCCCGCTCCACGCCAATGGCAACGGGCCTACAGCACTGTCAGGTCTGCTGCCTCGTCCATCAAGCGGCCTGCATTTACATGACAAATGCTTCAATCAAACGCGCTCATCCATCTGATAAGAACACAAACATCAGGACACAGTTTCAGGCTAAGAGCTCACAATAACAAATTAATGACCATTAAGTAAGTAATAACAATCATAATAACCATTTAGCATTATAAACGTTAAAATAATAATAATGTCCTCCAAAGAACAGAAAATAGGACCCGGATTATGCATTATTATAATTAATATTATTGTCACCACACCTAAACTTAAAAGCAATGCAAAATAATAATATCATGTTTTAACCTTTTTATGGTCTGTGCTGTTTTAGCGGTGATATTATTTGTTACGCACCATTTCGATTAATTCTCAGGGTGGAAAAAAGGTTTCCGAAGGGATATTTCAATAATGAAACTCAACATTTGATTATGATCAAAATGTACATTGGCTTATTACCAAGACACTTCCCGGCTCACACGGATCTCCTCTGACTCAGGCAGCGCTGTGACCTCGGTGATCCATCATGCGCTCTTTCTAAAGATAGGCAGCTTGTGTGGCCCACTTCGCCTCTAAAAGAGCATTTAAGAATTATACAGGCTTTTCTGGCTTCTCTTTTCGCCTTGCTTGAGAGTTAACGACACTGAGACTCTAATGTAATATCTTCTAAAGCCTACCACGTCCACAGTCATCCGTAAGGGTAATTAAGTAGAGATAACGCAATGTTCTAGACCTCAAGTGCTAATTAAGCTTTAAGAAAAAAGGGAGCTGCCGTTTTTGTGAACGTTTTGGGTGCATTTCGTCTTATTTACTCCCTGGAGAGCGAAAACTGCTTTGTATTTAACCTAAATAACAATAATGAACACTTTAATTCAAGATAAGCTGGAGCTTTTCCTGATGCCTGAAGGAACGAGGCCCAGCTGTAAAAGTCATGGATACAAATAAATAAGTAGAAGTACAACTTGACACTAATGCTGAAATTATTATTCCAATAAGTCTTATGCATCAGATCAGTGAAGACTTTTCTGCTACAGATGAGTCAGTTTTGGAGCTCGCAGGATTCTGTCCTGCGGAGTGCAGCTCTGGGACAAATACGACCCGTGCAGGTCCAGACCTGGATTAGTTGTGTTGGCGGTGTTGTGCGGGTTGTAGTGCTCCTCAAACTGTGGGCCGAGGGTGAAGTATTTGGAGTATTCTGCCGGGTACGCCGGCTGCTGTTGTTGGGACTTGAACGGAGGGGAGGCCGGCTGGTAATCCCCGCCCAGACGGACATAACCCAGGCTCGACAGAGTGGGGCTGCCCGGGGCGGAGGGAGAGGGCGGAGGGGAGGAGGAGAGGCCCTGCAGTCTCTCATCCTTCTTCTGCTTCATCCTCCGGTTCTGGAACCAAATCTTGATCTGCCTCTCGTGCAGGTTGAGCAGACTGGCCATCTCCACCCGCCGCGGTCTGCACAGGTAGCGGCTGAAGTGGAACTCCTTCTCCAGCTCCACCAGTTGCGCGCTCGTGTACGTTGTGCGCGTCCGCTTGAAGACCGGCGTCGCGCTCGGACACGTCTCGTTGAAGGAGCGGTCTGTGGAGAAAAACGGTTGGAGAAACCAAAGTTGATGGAGCGAAATGGGAGGTTTCATTGTCTTTCTCTCCTTTCGAGTTTATTCACACTTGTACTTTGTAAGTTCAAGATCATTCTGTCGTTTTCTACCTGTCAGTCCGTTTTCTCCCTTCACATTATGTTGTTCCATTTATTCTAAAGTGAACCTACCCCAAATGATCTTACATAAATAAATAAACAATGAGTCGAGCACAACACAAGCACACAACAGAAACAAAAGAAGAATCAGCGGGTGTTTGTGTGTTACAGACCATTGTCTGACATATTTAGCTGTTTTTTTCTAAAGTGTTCTGTCTGTAAATTTGTGGCAGTACCGGATATTTTTGGTCTCACACAGATTTTCCTTTCGTTTCTAAATCGAGCTTAAAGGAATAGGTTGTTCTAATCAGCAGCTTGTGATTTTCGCCCAAATAAACGTGACTTCAGTGGAGAGTTTAGTATCATAGGGGAGTTATACTTTTCACATAAAGAGAAACATTCCTATCGGTATTAAAAGCCCATTTCATTTCTGGAGTCATTATGTTCCTGGGCTCTGCCACTTTAATCTTGTGTTGCCCAAATCATTTCAGGCATTTTAATTTGTTTCTTTTCCTGTTTCAGCTTTGTGTCTGCTCTACAAATAAATGTTATTTGGGCCTACGTGCCCGGTCGAAGCTAATTATTGGCTCCCTGACCTTTTGATCATGACACATATGAGCTATAACTGTTTAGAGCTCTTTGCAGGGGCAGAAATGTAAAGGCCTCATTTGAAAATGGCCCCTTACAGACCTGCGACTCTCCTGCCGTGTTTCTGGTTGTTGTGCCTGGACTCTGTCATCCAGGGGAAAATCTTTTTGCTCATGGGAAACTGCGGGCTTTGCTGTTGTTTTGACCTCCGAGGAAACTCAAACATCTCCGCCGGTGCCAGCTGTTGGTTTGCGGCTGCTTGGTGAATGCTGCCAAACCCGCAGGCATCCTGCAGAGAGTCGCTGAAGAAGTCCTGGTGCTGGATGCTGTGTGCAGCGTTGCTTTTCTGCATTTCCATGAACTGTGCACCGGGGCCCCCTTTGACCTTCTGACGGAGTGTTGGCAGCCAAATGTCACATGACAGGTTTCCAGAGAGCCCTGGGCTTCTGGCCTGAGAGGATCCAGAAAAAAGACGGAGACAGAGTCAGGGAGGAGACTGAATGATCCATCTTATCAGCTCAATAGTCTGCTGACATGAATAGCAAACCTCTCCTGGCTAGAGAGGCAACGGAACACTAAGAGTTCGGTGGAAATAGAGATTGAAAAACACCAACTGGAGTGTAAAATCTAAGCAATTCTCTTTGTTTACCCTTTACAATAAGCCAGACCTCTCTGCCCTGTAATGAGGTTATTGTCATTCTTCTTCTTATTTGTTATAATACAAGTAGCACGGTGGATATCAGGTTCTAAAACTAGATTCTTTTTTAGGATTTGTGTTTGTCTCAACAAAGATAAGATGACAAATGAGACACTAGCAATAACAGCAACAAGAACAAATGGCAAACACTAATACTCGTCAGTCTAAACACAGACATCTCAAATAGGCCCATGAATACATTTAATATAAATATACATCGTTGTATCCTCTTTGCACTAGTGTGCTTTTTGAAATTACATTAGGCCTTGCTGTTGATAAATACAAGCCTTTATTCAGCAAATGGATAGTCCTGTCTCTAACATTTCCAAGAGAAAAACATGTAATGTTATATCACGTTCGGCTGAAAAGCTCATCCATCAAACACAAAATGGCACAAAAGTCCATTGTGCGCTGCAGCTGTTTTTACGCCCTGAACGGAAACAAAACGCGATTTGAAAGAAGAAAACCTTTCCAGCCAAGATCTTAATTATATTTAATTCACTCTTCTTCCGAAATTAAACAGAACAAAATTAGTGAGCACCGGCTTTAAGGACAGAGAGGAACAGAGTGAGGTAGAGAAGAAGTCTGGAGGCATGCAGCTTTATGAACTCTGGTTGAACCGCGACTGGAGTCAGGCTCGTAAATCATAAAGACACATAACCCAGTCCGCGGCACAACAGCCCGGCTGCCTTACCTTCACAGCCCACATGCATCCCGCACGGAAAACAAACACAGCGGCTCCTCTCACCTTTGGAAAACCTCCCAGATTAGGACAATCCTTGCAGAGACAGCGGCTCTCTCACATTAGAGGACGTGATGGTGGTGGTGGTGTGGCTCTGGGGGTGAAGCAGACTGGACGGTGTTTGTGCAGCTCACACCGCCCTGCATTCTGCATACAGCGGCTGTGGGTGTGTGTGCAAAAAGAAACCCTTTCTGCTGATCATGCAAGCTCGGTTGCAGAACAGTGGCTTTTTTTGCGCCTTTCTATGGCAAGTTGATTTCCTCTGCGGAATTATCACAGTGGAAATCTCAAAACATTAACGGGAGCAGGAAAGGCTGCAGTATTTTTTGCCGCTGATTTTAAGTGGATTTAGATTTTCTTGATAAGGAAAATGATCCCAAAGCTACCGGTTTTTATTTTTATTGGGCTGCTTTTAAATAGCATCTCCTGTCCAGAAATATGCACACACACACACACACACACACACACACACACACACACACACACACACACACACATCTCTGTTCGGCTGAAAGAGTCCTGGGAACGTGTCCAGCGCTGTAATAATAAATTCAAGCATCTCGTTTAGGATCCACGCCATAAATTACTGAGCAGCAAAAGCTATTTAGTCTGGCTTCTTCCACACTCTCACACCAAATGCATTAGGCCTTGTTTATGTACTGGGGTGTTTTTTTATTCTAATTTAAATGAGTGATCAGAGAGGCTCGCTTGAACGCACTAAGGGGAAACTGACCGGTCAGCAGCAGCGTCCATTAGCGGCGCACACCGAGGCCTGGACCGGGTCCGGGCTACGTGAGCCGGCTGCAGCGGATCGATTGGCGGCGCTTGGATCCCTCATCTTCCCGTAATGCTCGATGGCTCTGATCGGATCTTGTTGGTAATATTTAACTAAGTAGGGTTAATTAATGCAAAAGACCGTCTTTGATCCGTGAGGCATAGAACAACTCCCAGCACTGGATGTCCCCTGTCTCAGCCCGCAGTGGGCGGCCCCGTGTCCACCAGGCAGTGTTTCATTTCAGGGATGCAACTGATACTGTAATGTTGTGCCAAGAGAAGGTTTACTGTGTTATTTTGTTTAAAGTTACACACAATGTCATTACAGCTGCACACAGAAGTTCACTCGTACCCATATATACCCAGCAGCCAGTTTATTAGGCACACACAGCTAATGCCGCCCTGCAGGAGCTGAGGGTGTAATACTCAACTTGTGTTGTAGAAACTGTCCATTCATTTACAGTTGAACCTGGAGATCAACTATTAATAGGAAATAGATGTTGTTAGTACACACAGTGTTAGAATGTAACTGTATTACTCAGGTCCTGCAGTCCAAATTCGAGGTAGTTGTTATTATTATTACTTCCATTTTATGCCACATTTATACAGTACTTCTGCTACATTTCTGAAGGAATATTGTACTGTAAGAGCTAAAGTCACTTTACGAAAAATGATTTTATGATTCAGTTATCAAATGTGACACGTTGTTCTAGACCAATTTACTAAAGAGAAAGTAAAATCTTTACAGTAGCTCACAGTGCAACACAGCAGTAGTAACTGCTACATGTAAAACATAACACCCATGGGGAGTTTTTCTGCTTTGAGTACTTTTACTTACTACTTTAAGTTCACCAGGGATACTTAAATAGTATTATAATTGAAAGACTTTTAAGGCAACAGAATACTACAGACGTTATGCTATTGGTACCTTTACTTAATGATCTGTAAACTTGCTCCACCAACTCCACCTGTCATGATGTAACAGTGACTCCTGGGCTGATAGAGACCATGAGATACGGCTTAAGCAGCTTCCAGTGTACTTTACTGTGCCAAGAGCTTTTTGTCAAACAGCTTTACTGTGTTACACTAAGAGGTGTTGCTAATATTGTGACCATCCCAGTTACTGCATGGAAGCGCTCTGACCTTTTACTTAAAGAAAAGAAGAACTACTGTGTACGAATATTCTGTTACAAGTAAATGTCTTGCATTCAAAATGTCACTTGGGTAGAAGTACAGAAGTATTAGCCTCAAAGTATATTTAAAGTACCCAAACTGAAAATTCTCCATGTGCAGAAAGTCCAATTTCAGAATAAGGTAGACCTATTTAAGTGTTAATGTGCAAGCAAGCATCCCTTTAATGTAGAGCTGCTGGGTGTCTTGGGAATTTTCTCCCAGGGATCAATGATCTATAAGAAATGATACATCAGAATGTATTTGCTGATTATATCTTGTTATCAAAAATCTGAATTTGCAAAATAACTAAAGTTATCAAGTAAATGCAATGCCATTAAAAGTACAAATATTTGAGTCTAAGCACAAAATGGAAATACACTATCTCAAAATAGTAAATGTACTTCCGCCACTAGAGGATACAGAGGTGTAGCTACTTAATATCTGTATATGGCTCATAAATCTCACCGTTTGTGCTGCTATAAAACGTGACATATAAATACAGAGAAATCAGCAGTAAGTGCACTGTCTTAAAAGAGTGTAAACCTTCCTGATGTATGAGCCAGCGAAGAGGGGGGGGGGGGGGGGGGGGGGGGGCTTGCAAATGGAGACACGCAGCGTAAATATAAATAAGTGTTCGAGCTGCTCCTAGTTGTCACTCAGATATGACGAAATCCCTGAGCTGCACTTCACCTCCCATCATCTCCATCACCACCGCAGTCTCCAGCCTGCCTGTCTGGTCTGTGATGGACATGCACACCCCCACATCCTCACCGAGCACCACCCACCCTCCATTCAGTCTGCAGGCCTGCTGACAAATACAGTGCGCTGCCAACTCTCTTGACAAGTAGCTGCAGGAACCAGGGGAAGTGTTGCTCTGAACTCGTTCACAGAGGAATCAACAGCGGCACCAAGTTCGTTCCCCACCCCACACCTAAGCAGATAAATAGATATGTGTGTATGTTTGATCAAAACACAAATATTAAAATCAAGGGGGAAACCTATAGAAAACATCATTTTCCACATCAAAGCAAACATTTACACACTAAACTCACCAAGCACATTACGCCTGACAGTTAAATGCCATCCATTACAACATCCAGAGGGGTTCCTAATATTGTGACCCCCTCATGCATGTAAGTGGAAAGGACAAAGAAAGAAAGACATCTGGATTTGCAGGCCAACTAAACTAATCAAATAAAGGTCGAGTAAAACCTTTTGTCTCTAAAATGCAACAGAGTAAAAGTAAAGTAGCAGAAAATGGAAACACACACACACACACACACACACACAGTGCCTCCATAGTACTTCAGTACAGTTGTTGAGTAAATGTTGCAGTCACGCTATTGTGGCCTTAAGTCTAAAATCAGTATTTAAACATTTAATAAATGGTTTATAACGCAGTATAGTGTGGTTTTTAGCAGATATCCATCAATATGTGCCAACATAGTGTGAGCAGATAACCAATGACAGTGGAAGTTAATACACCTAAGATGCCCCGATGTGTTCTAAAACGTGTTCATGGTGGGTTTCCCGCCTGCTACACGACTGTTCCCTCACCTCTGACTCGAGCTCTGCACTTTTCAACAACTTTAGTAAACTTACTTTTTCCTTTGCGGTCCCATCTTGTCACCAGGACAGCGTCTCCGTGCACTGGGCACTGGGGTGGGTTTGTGGCGGTCCTGCTCACACTCCTCTGCAAACTACACAACTCCTCCTCGGCTACAGACAGTGAAAAGAAAACGTGATAAATGGTGTGGCGAACAATGCGCGCACCGAGGGCTCGTCCGCCTGCTTCCACACATGTCATATTCTGCAACGGCTAAAAGACAAGAAACGCAGCCAGGACAGCTGAAGCCCCGCAGCCCTGGGCAGAGCTCCACTCTCAACAATATACGTTTCATTTCCAGGAGCACAGCAGCTACTGGGGTCAGTTTATACATCTCCCAAACTTTCTTTCACTGGCGAACTTGTAGAAAGCAAAGCCTACTTTCTGGGCTTGTTCCTCTTCTCCCCGAGGTGAAGTGTCATCACCTACAAACTCCCCAAGATGCGAACTTGTGGCTGCCGTTGTATTTACACAAATTCGGATCTACAGGGTGTGTATAGGTGACAGGTGGTCAGGCTCTGCGCGAAGCCTGCGTAACAGTCCTTCTATTCAAACCATACAATTGATAAAATATGAACTAGAACTGCTGCTAAAAGTATTTTTAAAAATCAAAACAGTACATTCTGCTAATACGGCGCCTTGTATCAAGTGTAAATGAAGCCTTTTGTTAATCTAATGCTTTATACTTTGTAGGTCAGTTATAATCAGTTCCCAGTTGCCAGGTCTGGTGAAGAAATCCTTCTGATCGGTGCTTATCTCTTTATTTAGTAATGAAAGAATTAAAAGAAACCGTCAACCCCCGTTGTTATAAACGCTAATAAGTTATTAACGCGTATTATAAAAGTGAATAAGTAAATAAAATGTGTGACAAATGTTCATAAACTGCATTTGTCTTTATATATATAAGCCATTGTTGTTATAAACAAGTCATTTTAATCCACAAAGTCTTGCGTTTGAAATGTTTTATGTTGATAACACGTGGATTTTGGTTCATCTTGTCAAACTGGCAACTCCACAGTCCTCGTTGGTGGTTTAGAAGGAATGCTTATTAAAACCATTCCAGTGGTCCAGCGGAAACACGTTCACGGGTTTGGACAGATCTCACCTCCTGTTAAACGGGTTTGTTTTCTAATAGTTGAACATGATGAGCACAGTGTCTCCGGCTGCAGGTGAGTGAGGTGTGTCCCTCTCGGCGTCAGGGCTTTTCGATAGTTAAAACGTAAAATCGTTTCCATATAACACGAGTTTCTCCTTTCTTCAGCCTCACAGATCCTTTACTTAAAGCCAGGAGCACGATCTAAAAATCATTTTTTTAAAATCTTGCATTTCTTGGAAATTTTTTAAGTAAACTACGCGCAAAATATACTGGAAGTATGACAAGGAAAAACACTTGTTCTGCAGAAACCCGTCCTCTGTGACTGATACATTATTATATATGACAGCAGTCTGAAATACACTTGGCCAGTTTAGGTCAGGTAGTGCCCAACCTATGGCTCTGGCCCCTTTCCAGAGTCACAAGATAAATCTGAGGGACTGTGCGATGATTTAACAGGAGAAGAAGAAAAAACAAAGTTCAACTAGAATGTTTTAATGTTTTGTTTTTTGTGAAATTTTGGATGATTTGACCTTAAATAAAACAGTTCGGCATATTTCTGCTAACTACTCTTCTAGGCATCTGAAGGAGACACAGCACAGATTTTATTTGAGGTTATAAGCCAAAACAAAATGTGTTGTATTTTATTATCTTAACTTATGTTATTAATGTAAAATAACAATCTGAAAAAATGCAGTGGAATAAAAAAAAAAAGTTGTGTTTTTGTAGACAAGTAAAAAGCTGCTGAAAATCTCACATGGTGAACTTTATGAAAACAAAACAAAACAAATCATGAATCTGAGGCTGCATTAAACCAGATCCAGAGTTTAAATGTAAAGGCCACGGCCTCCAAAAGCCTCTCAGCTCGGTGTCAGGGCCTAAAGGTGGAGTCCCCCGCTCAGCCCGTGCAAACCCGAAGACAGAAGTGACAAACACGCTGGGAGTGACACGCTGTTTGTGCTGTGCACCCCACATGCCCCCGATGATTAAATAAAAAGCCATCCATCATGAGGCGGCTCGGTCTGAGGCGCCCTCTGCTGGGGGCGCCGCTGCATTGCACCTGGGAACTGGAGTCCGCCGCCACATGTGAACGACAGCCCGGCCTCCCAAAAACGTCCAGGGTGACCTTTTGTTTCATGTATTTTATCATTAGGGTCAAAGGAACAAGACTGCCGCGAATTCCATTTGAGAGCTGTGGGATTTAAGATGGTTTCTCACATGAGGCTTGATTTGTTTGATTTAATTAGAGAATCAAATGAGTACACTTTAATCCTCTCCACTCCGTTCTATGTATTATTCAGATTAACTGCTGAATCTGAAGCTGTATCACATAGATGTTCTTCTCAAAATAGAACCCATGTGCGGTTAATAAACGGTGGCTTTGATTCTTTCTGGTGCTTTCATTTACTGTGATTTTACCCCAATTTCTGTGCACATTTTCTCACTATTAAACCAAAGTAGGTGCAAAGCAGAGCAGATGAAAGTGGACTTCAGTCTGTTAAATGCTCACAGCCTGTTTGCAGAGATTTTTTTAAATTACAAAAATATTTAAGTCTACTATGCAAAACGCAGTTTTATTCGGAGCGGAGTCTCTGTGGTGACGGTGCAAAGTGTGGCAGCAGTGCGCTTCCTCCTGACGCATCTGCGGCTGCAGTCTGCACCGTCTCCTGACCCAGCGATGATCCCCGGCGCGATGAATTATGCATGAGATCCGGCTACAGATTACCCCTATCAATATGCAACACTCATTATGCTGCTTAAATTGCCACTTAATAGTTATGAATATGTGGATAATGTCCTGAACCCATATAGCGCCAGTGGGTTTCACTTTTTTTTACCTGAAATTAGTTTGAAAAGACTTTAAAAATGCTGCGTAAGTCGTGTATACAGTTTCCTGGAGATATTATCCTTATGTTTTATTAGTGGCCGGTAAACACTGCACCATAGCTCAGTATGTGGGATTTGTCCATGTGGACTAGGTGCAGGCTGTGTCCGGCTCGGGGGTGTCCGGGACTTCACCTGTGGCCGCTCGGTGACTTGGCGGACCGGGGTAGATAGGTTCGGCTCACGGCTGCTCCACACAGCTTCGAATTAGTCCAGTGATCATATTTTTATTTCCTTCCGAAACATGTTGTTTTTGCTAAATAAAGAGCTTTGTGTGTTTCTTTATTTTCAGTGCGAGACTAATCACAATTAAACAGGCCCGTAAAACAGTCTATGGACAGTTTTCAACTTTTTTTTTATTATAGCAAAGCATTTGAAATGTCAAGTAATTCGGGATTTTCTGCAGGTAAAATGTGGAACAAATGTGTTTTTGGTCCTAGACTGTATGAGGGGAAACGGTATTTTTTAAAACTACAATTTTCACCCATAAGCCACAATTTAAAAAAAAAACCTGTAATATTTAATTTGATATTTTAAAGCAGAATTCAGCAGCCACAACAGAAATCCCAAGTTTTCCAGCAGCTTGAAGTAACTAAATCTGACTGGACACCACTTCCTTCCCCAGGCCCATCCATGCAGTTAAGCCGTCACTTTCATTCAAGGTTGTGAATTATATAGTACATTGTCTACTCCCCAAAACCATAAAACCAACTTTATGGACCTCACGTGACTTTTCACAGTCTGTAAGTAATATAGGCCTTTACAATCTTTGGTTAGGGGGATTTTTACCAACTTCAGCCGTGTCAGTATACCTGTAAAGCAAAGCCACTTCTGGGGGGATTTTAACCCGTTTCCCACAGGGCAAACACGCGTCTCGCTGCAAAGAGCTCAGAAGGAGGTAAGTCTTAAAAAAGTCTTCTCTTTCACTCTGTCTCTGCTAAACAAGCTCGAGAAACGCATCAGAAAATGCTCCAAAATCTGGTTGTTCGTGTGACGTTTTAACAGTTCGGACAGGTTAATCATTAATGAGTCGAATTCGGGTCGAAACGGACCAAACTTGTTAACACGCCCTAAATACGAGCGAGGGCTCGTGTGTGTTCGTTCTGATAAAGTCCAGACACGTTCAAAGCAATTGAGAGAAACTTTATTTTCAAGCGCTATGAATTCACTTACAAATACAAAAAGCTTATTGGCGAAAAAGCTTACATCACTGCCTACCCACAGAAGAACCCTTTGCACTCAAAGTTTATCACATTGACAGGTTGAATACATTTGCATTGCTCATAATTAGCTCTAAACAATAATAATAATAATAATAATAATAATAATAATAGATGCACAAAATATCCTAAAGCTACACATTGGCTTGTTGATGAAAGTTCATGGGTCTGGCCACAAGATAACCATCAAAAATAGCAGGAAACGTTACACTAAAGCGCTTTGAATGGCCCCGCAGTACATTACATTCAATGAAGAGCAGCATGTGGTTTGGAAACTTCCTCTTTTTTAAACTGTACATTGAATTTACTCCTGTTAGACCGTCAAGACGTTACAATAAAGAGCTCAAGTTAAAACACTTTTGAGAGAGAGAGAGAGAGAGAGAGAGAGAGAGACAGAGACAGAGAGAGAGGAGGCAAAGAGCTTGGACAGGTAAAACCCCCAGTAATATTTACATCTCATTTTTCCAAACAGGACGTCTAAGCTATCGTAGTACAACAACAGGAAACTAAAAATGGCATTTAAAGACCACAGAATACTTGGTTTTCTATCACAATAGCATGCTGGAAGGTGCTGCGCTTTCAATAGCTTTACAGTACTCATGGATTTCTTTCTCTTTTCTTTCTTTTTTTTTAAATTCTGATTATTTTACTCTCCGTAAAAGTTGTTCAGTTGTGGAAGGCGCTTGCTCCTGTTACAAGACTCATGCTTTTCAGTTTATTGTCCTTCTTCCACTTCATCCTGCGGTTCTGAAACCAGATTTTGATCTGTCTTTCGGAAAGACACAGGGCGTGGGCTATCTCTATCCTCCGCCGTCTGGTTAGGTACCTATTGAAGTGAAACTCTTTCTCCAGCTCTAGCGTCTGGTAGCGGGTGTACGCAGTTCGGGCCCTTTTCCCATCAGGTCCAGTCATATCTACAATTTTACAGAAAATCCACAACATTAGCAACTGCACTGAACAACAGCAACAACAGAGGGGGTTGGCTGCTAGACTCTGGCTTCACCGTGAGGGTGTGTGATGGACAGAGGGGTGACAACATGAAATGAGCTGATGCAGGAGGGAAACATGCAACCAACACCACGTAACAACACCCAGGCTGTCGTTGCCTTTCTTATCTCGAGCTCTCGCCGGCAGCCAGCCTGCACACT